CAGGAGCCTGCCCGCCTCCTGCAATTGGGGAGCGAGCTGCTGGCGGGCTGAGTGGCTCCTGAGCTGCAAGTAGCCCCAGTGATTCCCTATATGGTGGCGGTGCCCCCCGGGACCAGCCAGGTGGGGTGCCACCAAGCAGGTGCCACCTGGAGGGTGCTGCTGCTGTGGAGGGAATCACTGGGGCCCCCCACAGCTCAGGGGCCACTTGGCCCATTGGCAGCTCATTCCCTCGCTGTGGGAGATGTGGGGTTGGGGGAGGGGAGGGAGTGGGCTCCTCCCTGCTTTTTTTTTTTTTCCTCAGCAGATCCTGCCCACATAAGCTATCACCAGGTCACACACCCCTGAGCTGTGGGGGGCACCAGTGCTTCCCTTCACAATGGCAGCACCCCTCAGTGTGCTAGCTGCATGGGTGCTGCCCCAGCTCACAGACAGCACCCACCAGATCCAACAGTGCATGGGACACTGGTAGCCCAGACGAGCTCAGGAAAGCTTGGGCTTGGCAGGCTTCCAGCACCCTGTGCACTGTACATGCTGCCTTCCTGCTGCCTGGTACCACCTGGCTTGCCCCTGGGAGAGTGTGGGAAGGCAGCAGGAGGGCAGCTGGTTGTGCTGGCAGCCAGAGAAGGCAGCAGGGATGGTGCACGGGGTGCTGGAAGCCCACCAAACCCGAGCTTCCCCGAGCATGCCTGGGCTTCCAGCACCCCATGCACCATCCCCACCACCATCTCCAGATGTATTGCTGTAATTTGTTACATAAGAAACTAAAATACATTGGATGTGTTTTACTTTGCTACATAAAAAGTCAGTTAAATTGAAATATGTTGCCGCAGATGTACACTGTTATGAAATTTAATCGCAATATGCTGCCACATGTACACTGTGATGCAATTCAATCACTAAAAAGGGCAATTAAACTGCTATAAGGGGCAATTTTGTCATGTGTACAAGGGCCCTTTGTCATGTGTACAGAGGCCCTAAATGTTTAGGTAGACCACAGTAACGCAGCATATGTAAGACAAAACTCCAGATTCAAATCCAAATTTTAGATCCATTAGATTAAGAGACCTTAATGAATTGGCAGACTCTTAAAGAGTCTCTGCATCCATATAAATTAAGAATGTGTAGGAACAGCTTTGCCCAGTAAGGATGGGGAGAGAACCAGAGCATCCCTGCTGACTGAGGACTCAGAAAATGCCATCATACACAATTATAACAGAGAGATTAATTAGGTCGGGAGCCCAGATTTGGCTTCCTTCATTAATAAAATAACTGTATAATAAGCTCAGTAGATTTTGCGTTTTCTTTTAAGCAGGAAAACAGGATGTCTTACATGTCCTTCTACTGGGACAGTTCATTCTTCCACTTCCACACACAAATGATGGAAGAGACCAAATTAATTGCAAGATCTAATATATTGTGAAAGCATTATTATTATCCAACTACGCTTATGTCTAGTTAATAAGAGGTTTGGGCATAGTATTTATCATGTAATTCTAGTGATTACATGGATTGCTTCTATAGGTGCACAGCCTTGGGTTTACAGTAAACCAAAGTATAGCTCTGCTCTGAAAAGTGCCTGTCAAACTAGCATTGCAGGGTTCCATGTGTTTGGGGACTCAGTAAATTGCCGGTAAAACTTGCCCATTTACAAATAAACAAATGCAATATTACTCTGAACTTTAACAGTCAAGCTGGACGCTTTCCTTTTCACACGTCATCGCTATTAATAGAGATCCTGTAAGCCAACTTACGGTTCCATTCATACCTGTTCAATCTCAATGAGTAACTGAGGGCATGAAAACTAATCCAAGGCTGATTGAAGTCAATGAGTTGCAATCAGTGGGGTTCTGCAAAAGTAAATGAGGGTACAATATTCTCTGGTGATTTTCATTTACTAGTGACAGTGTGGAAAAAGAAAAGAACCCAGTCTGGCTGTTAGAGTCCCAAGGGGAGTATGTAGACTGTTTTTTTTAATGAAATGGCTTCTCTGCAACCTCATCAAATTTGATCTGAATCAGAAGTCCTTAAATAAAAATGGTCTCCCACTATGCAGTTCTCATAGAATTACATTTCAGAGTATAACTGCTCTTGAAGTCTATTTTGTAAATGAAATCACATGCCAGCTGTTTACTCTGTACCAGATCTACTCTTTGACTAATTCAAGTGGCGAACATGACCCTATGGATCCACTTGAACTTGTTTCTATCGGTATTGTAAGCCCAGAACATACTGGAGTGCAAAAATGAAAAACAAAAAACATTGAAATGTAAAATAGATGCACTTTTGCATATATTCAATAAAATATATATCCAGAAATAACACCAATAATTACATGTACATAATATTAAGTTAGCTTAGAAACCACATGCCATTTAAAAGTATTTGCATTCATAGGCACTGCTTAGCTATTCTGTAGTTTAATAAAGACATTAAGTTTTAAAAAGAAAATCTAATTTATTTGCAAACTCGATGATGAGCATTAAATCATATGTGGCATGATGAAGAGAAATGACATTCAGAAGTGCTGTGGGGCCCCCAGATTCTTCTCCTCGTTTCTCTTCTCCTCCAAAAATCAGTATACCCAAAATCATATTGCATGGATAGATACATGCAACTCTAATGAAATAAACATTGTGCACTTTTAACAATAGTGATGAAGATGACCTTCCTCCAGCCTTGGCGGCGGCAGCAGCAGCATCAACTTCTGTGTCATCTTCCTCTCCTGTGTCACAAAAGACTTGTACGCCCCAAATGTCAGAAGGACAAGCCCAGATGTCACCTGGTGCAAAGGTATCATACCAAAAGATAGGGAGAAAACATGCTAGAGAGCAGATGTGAAATCACAGAAATAGTCATGGTTAAAATGTTTTTATTGGATATAGTTGTTTTATATTTGAGAGTACAGTAGTTTTCAGTGCAGAATTGTAAAGAATGTGCTTATGCTGTACTCTGTGTGTGTGCGTGCACAGAGGCAAAAAATTGTTAAGGGTATTCACAGAAGTTTAGGGCTGTAATTCTCATGGCCTGATCCAAATCCATGAACTCAACAGGAGCCTTTCCATCAAATTCATCAAGTGTCACATCAGGATTAAACGGACATTTATTTTGCTTCCAAGATGAACTATTTTGTTGTCCAACAAAAAGAGAATTGCCTGTCAAATTGTGCTTAAAAACTATGTGGGATTTTCAAACTTACTTTCTATTTAACGTATTTTAAACTATAATTGCAAAGAAGTCAGTGTTAACCACATCTTTCCCCTGCCTTTAGAGCCCTTCAGATGTCGGAAGTACATTTACTTTGGAACCAGGGGATCTTCTGATGGATTTCACGGAAGCTACACCCATGGTAAATAATTACAGTTTGCAACCCAGAAAAACAAAATGTCTATCTGAAAACAAGAACTGACAGTTTTTTTGTGTTGCATGTTGTTTAATTACTTGAACAAAAAAAAATTATAGCCTGATTTTCAGTAGTGCTAAGCACCCACAAAAGTCAATTCAGTGTTTCTGCAAATTAGCCCATTAGTGTTTGTATTGACCAACGTTATGGTTGGACTGCTGGAGATGGTTGGCTGTTTCATGCTGGAGATCTTTACTGTCATCTTACTGGAGTGCACCAGTTTTACTGTGCTCTTCTGTGCAATAAATTTGCCTTTCTAAAGGCTTAATAGATTTGTCCTCAAAAGTAGGTCTCCCTCCTCTTCCATTTAAGGAGCTCAACCAACAGGACTGTGAGGAAGCTTCCACCCTTGGGCCAGCGTGTCTCAATTTGCCTTAACAAAAAATAACAACCTAATAAACTTAATAAAATGAATACCATTCATCATTAATTTTAATTTTTGGAACAGTATGCTCTGAACCAAATATATGATTTTGTTTAAAAACCTGAACTGAATTCCTGGTCACAGTGAAACCAAAAAGAAAGCTTCTGTTGACTTCAGTGACATCAGACTTTCACCCTGCATCCCCAGTCAGTACTCTATCATATACTTCTTTTATCCTGAACTGTGTTTTTCCAAAATGATCATGTATCACAAGTAAGTTACCTTGCGACTCCTCTGGTCACTTTCAAGTCTCTATTGTCACTGAGAAGTTACAGTCTATAATAGTAATAATAAAAGGGCTTGTAACATTTGCTGGTATAAATGGATTTGAATTAAAAGGCATACCATCTATAGGATCTCATCAGCATGCTTTTACTACACTGCTAGATCTTAGTAGGTGATTATGTGAAAGTCATTGTGTGGAATAACCTTTGCTTCAAAGACAGATATGTTCTCTGCCACCAATTGCTAAGCCACCCTGTGTCACAGGTTGAATAGACAATGAGCTTTTTTACACGTTTCACAAAATGAACCCCCTGCACACCAATATCTCATGCAGATCCATTCATTTTAAGCCCTTCCCCCTCAGTATGTTCTCTAAGTATGGGCAGAAATCATGTGGATCTTTGGCCACATCCATGGACAGATCCAGGATTTTGCAAAGAGGGTGTGCAGGAGCAGCTGCCAGTGCTGCAGGAGAGCTGCACCCCTGCTTCTAGCTTCCTCCCACTCCCCCAATACCAGGAGGGTCTACCACACCATGGAAGCAGCAAGCAGGGACTTTAAGTCGTCCAATCAGGTAAGAATCTTTCCTCTCCACTCTGTCCCCCCTCACTTCCCATCTGTGCTCAGCAACATGTCTCCTTCCTGTTGCCCTCCCCTGCCCACCACTGCCACTGTCTCCAGTGACCCTGGCTGCCCCAGGGGCAGAAGGCTCCAGAGCCACCCCTACCCTACTCCAGCGGGGCTGCACATAAAGCCAAGCTCAGCCAGAGACAGTAGCATCAACAGGTAGGTTCCCTTGCCTGCACCTGCACTCTGGTTGATGGGGAAAATCTGGGGAACTGAGCAGGGAACAGGAACCTGTTTGTTGCTGCTGCTGTCTGGCTGAGCCTGGCTTGCCATGAAGCCTGGCTGAAGTGGGGTAGAAGGGTTATGGAGCCCCTTGCTACTAGATCAGCAGGGACAGTGCTATTGGTGACTGGGGAGTAGGGGAATGGGAGAGGATGGGATGTGCCATGCAAGGGTAGGAAGAAAGTAATTCTTACTTCTTTCAGGGACTTAAAAAAATGCCCAACTGTTGCTCCTGTACTGTTAACTGAAAAGGGGCTGTGTCTGTGCCACTGCAACCCCTCTAGGTCCACCCCAGCCACATCCTCTGATCACCCTCTTTGGCTTACAGAGAATGTAGTATGGAACTCACCTTATCTGACCTCTGTATGGGGAAAGATCCTGGCACATTCACATACCTGTTTTGAAAAACTTCACAAGGCTCTGTTGCAATCTTGCTTTTCAAGACCCTACAGGTTAAGAGTTCTTTATTTTAAAAAAGTGGGGAAAAGACAAAACAGTTCTTTCTTTCAGGAAATCTAGGCACCAGATCTTCACTATGCAGGCCAAGAAAAGTTCAGAGACCTTGTGCATTTCTCTGGATAAACTCACTTTATACTAGGACAAAGTCTTTGATATTTACATTGTTAAGCTTGGCTCATAATTAGAATCCTTGTGAATATGGCTTACTAATGTTAGAATGTTTTCAGTGAATCTTCTGTCTGTAGTTTGTTTATAGTGTTGTCAGATGTGCTGTCTTAGAACCTGAGGACTACAGCTACGCATGAAAAGACCGTAGTCTTGGAGGATAACTTGTGGGGGGTGGGGAGCGTTGGATGGGACCTAGTGTTTGCAAGGGTAGGGAGCTGTTAGGAGTAAGGTTGACCAATCAAAGTCAGTTGACCGGTCAATTGACCATCATTAAAAATTGTCAACTGTTCCATGAAGCCAAGCATTCCCTTATGTATGTGGTAAAGTATCTTTTTAATTGCACTCTCTCTCTTTCTTTCTCTCCCTACATTTTGGAACATGCACCCTCTGTCCTGATTCTCTCTCCTGAGCTTTTCCAGACTTCTTTCCCTTCCCTTCCTTCAACAATTCAGGGTTTTCCTTCTACCCCCATTCCTCTTGCAGTAGCTGCAAGAGAAGACTTTTTATTATACCTGTGTATGAAACATAGAAGGGGAGATAGATGCCTGCTTTTGCAGTCTAGTAGATCTTTGTGGATTGAAGAGTGTCCTGTACAAGGCATCCTCACCTAATGAAATGGCAAGATGGAGCTGTGTGGACTTCTGAAAATATCAGGCAAGGGAGCTCCTGAATTCAGAAGAATGAGGAATTGCAGCTTATAATATTTCCGAAGTGAGCGAATCATCTGGAAGGAGAAGAGCAGGGCATTAGTCAGAGAGAGTAAAGGGAATCTGCAGGCTTAGTTTGACATGAGACACATTGGAACATAGACCTTCCCCACTTTCAAACGTTGTGGCTCAATTAATAGAGTTCTCTTTGATCTGACACATGCATTTCTTGTTTCGATGCACCTTCTATGGCATTTAATTATGTTAAGATGAAATTGTCATTTATATTCAGAAAACCGAAGACTTTAATACCTGACCCACTATAGGCTATTATTTTTTAAAAGCTACCATAATGTTACATGCTTGTCCTTCCCCAGATGACAGGACAGATGTTCTTCCTTAATATTGCCACTCTTTTCATTCCCCCTCTTATTAATATTATTTTCCATACTACAGGTCATAATTGACTTTAAAATCCTTTTCTGGAGGGGCTTTTAGTCATGCATGGCAAATGTACTGCACACCATCTATCAACTTCTTTGTTTCATTTAACATCTACAAAGGTCAACCTATGTTCCAGTGAGCAGTTATTGTTTGCAGACCTTTCTCTGCAATATTCCTTACTTATCCTGTCAGTTGAGTGCTGAATTGAAGCCTATTTACCAAAGCACTGAGACCCAAACTGAAACCAAATAACAGAGAAATTCAAATTGAAAACTTTTGATTTGGGTCCATTTCTATTTTTGTTAGTCATTGTTGTGGTGACCATGTGAGGCCAAACCATCCACTGATGTAAATCTGTGTATATGCACAGAGCACAGTGGTGTTCTGATGATTTGTAGGCAAAGGCATGGTCTTTGGTATATGTTTTATGGTTGCATCCAATTTGCATTATATATTTACTTGGCTTGTTGAAGATTGCATTCCTTAAGATACTTCACTGACAGAAGTAGCATCATCTGTGCATGGTACAATCTTTGATCACACAGTCTACACACCCAGGGAAAACTCCTTGTTTATCATTGTACCACACACCGCATAAGCAAAATTATTACTAGTCATGTGATCTTTCCTTTCAGTACTTATTCCTTTAAATCAAAAACTTGTTGTTCTTCCCTGCCATCATGTCTGTTCACTTAGTTGGATATCTTCTATGATGCGTTCTTAAAACAGTGAGGGACTATAGATAGCTACTTAAATTTGATGTCAGAGAAAGTGAAAGTATAAACATGTATGACATCCTCTGAATGTGAAATTCCCTTCATGCTGTAGGTTTACCGCTAATTTCCCTCCTCTTTAAAGGCATAGGAGATCCTGGCTAAAATCTCAGATTCACACAGACAGGAAACACAAATGGAGTGAAAGCAGGGTAGAAAGCCCAGAAGCTATAACATAAGACATGAATTGTATGAACCAAGAGTAGGGTGGAATTCATATTCTTAAACTGCTCATGTTGACACTATGGGACCATGTTTGGCAGTCATGGAGGTCAATTACTGCCTTCCCTCGTTTGAGAGGAAAGTAAGAGCTACTTATATGTTGAAAGCTAACCTTTTTTTCCAAAAGGTAACAATGAAAAAAATGTAAATTTAGCTGATGATTTTGTTTTGAAAAATTACTTATCACTACATGACAGGTTGCAGATGTTAAAGAATCACATACGACTATGCAAGATTTCAGGTAATTAGAAAGAAAGAAGTTTTGGGGCATCCGTGTCAAAAAGTGGCATGTCTTCATTTTCCACATACAAAGTGAGAAGCTAATGCATTAAACTAATGCATGTGGCCAGTGATTGTGAGAATAGAAACAAAGTTGTTGACATCAGGAAAATATGAATAATATGGGAACTTTTTAATGCATTACTGAATATAGTGACAGGTCAGTAGGCTTCACCTGGAGCTGTCAAGGAAAACATTAACAAGGAAACTAGGCACTGCCTGAAAAGGGTGCAAGCCCTATTATATAGGTCAAAGATGCAGCCAGGAGTCTTTAGGCTGGAAACCAGAAGAGTTAAACTAGCTGGAGGGCTAAGTTTGATGGCAGCTGGGATGAGACCAGGTAGTTGAGCTGGTGGCAGATTCGGACTGCTTAAGATCAGTTGGGCAGAAACCTAGAAGGCCCATGCTTTGGGAGAGTAGGAATCTGACTTGGTCTTTTATTCCTGCCACTCCTTTGCTGCTTTTGACTTGAATCTGCAGAAGGAGATGACAGGAACAACAATTTTTAGTAACACCTTGAAGGGAGGCTTGGTATGTGTGTGGTTAGGTGATCCGCCCAAATCTAGATAAACAGCTGCCTCACTTCAAGCTGCCGAAATCTCTCTCAAGCCATGTGGTCTGCATGAACTAGATGAAGGAACAACAGATGCAGTTTTCAGAAGGAAGAGCCTTTCAGAAGGAGTTCCTTGAAATCCAGGGAGCCATAAAGACATCTTCAGTTTTCATGACTCCTGCCCCAGCCTTTAACTGGAGGCCCTCAGGTTGTTTCTGCCCATCATTTCTGTCCTCCTGCCTCTTTTAAAGACTCTTCTTGAGAAGATCATAATGGACATAATGGAGCCTATCAAGAAAGTACAGAATTATATCATGTCAGCAGTAGACTATGCAGTCTGGAGTTGGTGCCCATCCAATCAATAACTGTTCTAGTTATAGCCTCAGATTTACTTAACATGTACACTGGGGCAGGCCTCCCTAAGGAAGCTATAACATACCCAGGTACATATTTTACTTCATCTCTGATGGTGTTATGTGCCTGTTATACATGAATAACCTATGTACATTGCATATTGCCCTGAGAGTGAACCTCTCACTGGCCTCACAATGGCTAAGTGGAATAACAATAAACATTGGGACCAGTTCCAACTGCTGCCTTACATACTTTTTTGGTTTGCTTTTTTTGGTTTATTTATTTTGGTTTTTATGATTTTACTAGAGAAATTCTGCAAGCCTTGGAGGACTTCTTCCCAGTCAAACTACATTACAGCTGACATCCCAGGGGTATCCAATTATACTTAAAGGAGAGGTAGGAAGGATAGACTAACTGTGAAATGAATGTTGTATGGTACATCCTCAAACTGAGTGAAGGATTGAAGGTACTCAGAGACTATGCTTGCCAGAATGTTTGCCAAGCCCAGAGAATGCAAGAGCCTTTCAGTGTTAAATGTTCCTACGTGGGGGAGTTCAAGCCTGATTATTTTGCCTTGCTGCTGTGACCAGATAGAGACTGTAAAATCCTGGATGAGTTGAAACCCTGCCTGAGCTCAAGTCCCAAGAATCTTCTATGTTTTAGTCAGTATCCTTTGAAGTGCGGGGTCCAAGATTTCTCCTCTTCCCAGCTTCTCCAGCTCAGCCTGCTTGTTTGGATGATGGGGTATAGGTTGTAGCAGTGTTGTTCTAAGGGGATAGACAAGGCTCTTTGGGTAAATCCAATATCTTTATTTAGACCAACTAAAATAGCTGGGAAAATTCTTCTTTGCAACTTTTTGGGTACAAACACCCTTTGTCAGGCTGTGGAAGCATCTGCAGTTGGTCTGTGTTCTTCCTAGATAGAGTAGAAAAGACACCAGAGGCCAGTATGCATACGAGAAAGCCAGTTAGTGAAAATGCCAATTGAAACAGTCAATGGGTGAGATATAGGTGGGGAGGGAGGGGGATGTTGACCTGATGATAAGAATACACCTGGTAAATAGTAGAGAGGTTACCTGGAGTATCAGATATTAGACAGGTTATAATGTGTCATAAATCCAATGTCTATATTTAGTCCATGATTTTTTGTATCCGGTAGATTTATGAAGTGCAGTTCATAGGCTTGTCTGCAAAAAGGTGTTTTGTAAATTCCCTTTGAGGATTAGAACTGAGAAATTGGAGAGTGTTTTTTTGTGAGAAATGTGCATCTGCAGGTAATTGGGTGTTCTTGTCTTTGATAGATTTTCGATGTGCATTCATTCTGGTACACAGTTGTTGTTTAGTATCTCCTACATATTTTCCACCAGGACATTTGGTGCATTGGATGAGATATATTACATTTCTGGAGGTGCAGGTGTAAGATCCAGGAATGCTGATGGTTCTGTTGTGGGGTGTAGTAATTGTGGGGGTGGGAGGTGGAGATATGTTGGCAGGTTTTACATTTCTTGTCGTGGCATGGTCTGGATCCATTCAGTGTGTTTTGGGCCGTAGGAAGTTCGCTTGTGGTGATGAGATTGGCAAATTCAGTGCTTGCTTAGAGGCTAGGATGGGTGGCTCTGGGAAGATCTCCTTAAGAATTGGGTCTTCATCTAGAATGGGTTGCAGTAGTTCAAGGATTTTCTGTATAGGTTCCAGGGAGGAATGATATGTCATAACCAGCAGTGTGTGATTTATGGGTTTTTTTTCCTATACTGCAGCAATTCTTCACATAGGATCTGGGTGGGTCTTTCAACAATGCAATCTATCTTGTTTAGATGATGGCATTAAGAGAGCATCTTTTTTAATGAAGAACAGTTTTTAACACCTTCCTGCCTCTCTCTTGAGTGTTTTCCATCCTCCCACCTTCAACAAGATTGGTGTCAACAGGTTTTTAGCGGCAAATGTCTTTGCTGAATTATCTCCATTGTTCTGCCAGGTCAAAGCCAGAGTATTGGCCATGGAGTGAAGGTTATAATTCCTGCTGAACTTTATGGCCAGAAACCATTCACAGTTAATTTAGATAATATATTTAGATGCATTCATTCTCCAGTCACATAGGTATAGTACTGGAAGTGAGACTGACTGCAGTCTCCTTCACTATTTCAGTCCTGACTTGGAAGGAACTACTCTTATGGCTGGGAGAATGCTTAGTTCCTCATCATCATTAATCCCAGGACCTTGTATTTAGACAGTTCATAAAAACAGGCCAAGTATGAAATGAACACCTGACCACTAGGAATGGGCTGACTTCAGCAACTCATTTTGCATAGGTTATAGCAAGGGAATATACATAGGGAAGCATAGCAGCCAAAACTAGCTTTGGACTGGAGAGCTAGATGTGAAAGGCACTTCCCCTCAAGTATCTGCGGGCATGTGTAGACAAAATGAGGGGCATGTGTGCACGACACTTTAAAGTGGATTAAATGCTTTTGCACCACTTTAATGGTGCTGGTGTTTGCATGTGTCGGCGGCATATTGTGCATTAATTCCAGCTACTATAGCACATTCAACAGCATAATGCACTTTAATGACTTTGGGGTGCAGCAAACAAAAACACCTCTGAGGAGTTTTAGTTTGCTGCCCTACAACCGCGAAGCAAAACACCGGGCTCCATGAAGCTCAGGGACTATGCAGGCAGCCTGGCAGCAGCCCAGGAAGGCAGCTTCTACCAAAAGAAAAAAAAAAAGCAGCAAGCCTGATCATTTTCTTTTTTTCCCCTGGAGCCTGCCTGCCTGAGTGAGCTGCACAGGGACCAAGTCTTTCCCTCCACAGCTGCGGTGCCCCCCAGAACTGCCCGAGCCAGGTGCCTGCAGGCAGGTGCTGTCCGGGGATGGGGGAACCACCCCTGCTGTGGGAAGAAGCATCAACCTCCCCTCCCCCCACAGCCCAGGGATCACTCCGCCTACTGGTGGCTCACCCCCCCTCTCCACTGCCAGAGGCAGGTAAGAAACGGATGTACACAACATGGGGGTTTACTTCACCCTAAATTGAAGCTGTGTTTTTAAAAACCTACCGCTTCAATTTGGGGCCCCCTTTCATATACACACCCCCTGCTTTCTTAAAATGTTTGTCTTATTCTGCCAAGCCATCACACGTTCCCCTCTGCTCCCCTTCCTGCATACTACTGTCATCTGATCACTGTGCATCCTATGCTTTCAGCAAAAATAATTTAGCACATACACATCACAGGCCCGAAGAAAATGAATCACTCCCTTTTCTGAATGTGTGCACTGCAACTCGAAACATTGCCCTCAGGGTGTGAGCATGCATTATGCTGTTTACATGCATTGCATACTTTAGAACAGAATTGTGATTTTAATAAAATACAGTGTTTTATTTAGGGAGCTATAATAATAGCTGGATTGTGTTTTATTAGAACTGAGTAAAATTGTAGCAGTGCCTTTTTGCCATTCTAGATTACTCTCTCTCTCTTCCACTTCTCCACACCCTTTCCTGCCCTTGACTTTTTGCCTCTTGGGGATCTGGAAATTCAAATAACAGTGAAAATTATTCCATTCATATATTGAACGAGTATGATTTGTAATGGACTAAGCCATCTAGGAATACAGGGCTCTTTTAGGTCACTGTATGCTGAAATGCTAAAACCCTACATAAACACACAGTATAACAGTTGCTGAATCATGCTGGCAAGTGTATGCAGAAATCTCCAGCAAAGAGTAGGCCCCTTCTTCTCTGGTCCTGAGGGGGAACCAAGAAGATAAAAACAGGTCTTGGAGCTGGGGAGCAGCCAAGTTTGGAGGCTAAGATATATATTGTTACAATTTTTGGAATTACCAATAAACCCAAAATTACAGTAACTCAGAATCTGTAGACATTAAATGGATGCACTGGGGCATGATAATAAACACATTAAAATGAATTCAAAAGATGTACATTTACTGCTGTCCGGCTATATGCAAACTACCTGCTCTTCATACTACAACTTCAGAATTAGAAGTACTACAGATGCTACCTATTGGTGGAAAATGGTAAGTGGAGAAACAATTTCAACTCATTTGCCTTTTCCAAAATGGAGATATATGTCAAAAATTATATTTTTAAAATGATCACTATTTTAATTATATTTAAAATTATTTAAATGATTTAATAATTGTATGCTTTTTATAGTTTATTTTTTAGATAAGTCTGTAAAATCTATTTAACTTTAGCAATAGTTACCAAAGGCCCACACAGTCCTTTTGCTAGATAGGTTTGCAAAGAGAAGGCTAGTCAAAAAGCCTTTGAATGGAGCCCGAATTAAGTTCCACTGTGTGTTGGATTCTTCTACTATCATTAGACCTAATGATTATGAATTCTCAGTATAGAGAGCCTAGTTATAATATACTTTGAAGAATAGTTGGAAATATTATGGTGCTTTGTTTTAATTACAGATTTGATGGAAAATGAATGGTCAGCTCTTTCAGCTGATTACATTTAAAGAGTTGTAAAGAAGGAAGAAATAGTTCAGTCACTGGATACCAGTAAAGTTACAAGGAGTCTACAGATCAAGGGTGTCAATCATACAGCCCGCAGGCCACTTCTGGCCCACAGAGCCCCACCATCCAGCCCCTGGTGCTGCCCAAGTCTGATCCGACCCACACTACATGGTGTATGCATGTAGGTGGATTCTGCCAGCCAGATCTGGCCAATGGACCTCCTCCCCTTTCCCTAGCATACTTCATCTGGCAGCTGCTTCAGCCAGTCTGGGACCTGTGTTGAACATAGCGCTCCAGCATTAATAAACCAGTCTCATTTGTATTTCACACCAAGCAAAAGTGGTCAGAATGCAGTTCAAGAATCACAGACAAATTAGAAAACAGATACCTATTCTGTCTGAAGTTATATCGCATGAATTTCCAGATGCTCCAAAGAACTCCTAAGATATCTTAATCAGATATAAATTTATAAATACTTCCCTTGTACTGAATCAAGAAAACTGAAGGTAAATACATTCACCTAAACCCTCTAGAGAAGCATTATAATATAAATATACCTTGGCAATCAAGACTTTCTGACTCTCTGAGAAGAAAACATTCCTTCATAGATGGGACTGTAAAAATTAAGAACATTATTCTTCAAAGGGACAAATACAAAAATGCACATGCCTGATTTCCATATGCGCAATGCAGTTATAATGACTGCATGTCTAACTTTCTTTTTGTTAGAAACAACTACACAGTTAAAAGCATAATTTGTTTGCATGCACAAATACCAAGTTTATTTGGAGAAGCATGGTAATTCTATACGCAAGTCAAAATAAGCAGCTGCGTGCACATTTTAAATATACAGTACATTTAAGTTTCTTTTTAAAAATTGTGCTCTTTGAGCCATTTTAATCTGAAGCATGACAAAGAGCTGTTGTTGTTAAAGTGAATTACCTTAATACAGAAACTCATAGCAACAGGCAATAAACCTGCTTCCATGTAAACTCAAGAAAACAGTTTAGATTGTAAAACTGATATTGCAGTATAAAAAAGGGACTTTTCTAAGCCAAGTGTAAAGAGAATTTCATCTTCTATCAGATAGGGACACAATTTAACAGAGGGACATAGTTCAGTGCACCAGCCTGTCACAGTCTGATAAATTCAAGTATGAGCCATTTTGCTCTGGTCTTGGGGAACAAAATACAGGACTCCATGTGCAGTGCAAAGCGGTCATGGATGTCGATTAAAGCAGTCAGCTCTCTTTGAACAAATACAACAAAGGCAAATCACTTGTGGATCATTTATACTAAATGGAATATTCTGATAACTGGAGAATGGTCTTCAGCACATTTTAAAAAGTCACATTGCTTGGGCAACCAAAATAATTGCTGGAAGCATATTGGTACTTACATTTCCTAACTGCTTTTGGCAGTTGCTGCAAATAAAATACTGTAGATAGGACTTCAAAAATATTTCTGCAATTCATACTCAGATCTGTGTGTTCAAGCACAGGACTCTTGCTGGTTGGCTGCCTGCCTATCTTAGAAGTATATGCTGACTGAATTCAGGGTGGCTGGAGTATCTGGGAAAACAGTTTCAAAGACAGCTTGTTGTATCTCTGGTTCAAAACCACTAGTAAAATTAAGTTATGGTTTACTTACCACTCTCTGGATATTTTGGAATTTGCCTCCATCCCATATGTAATATTGAACACCTACAGTCAATGATGAGGTCATTAGTAAAGAAGTACAGACCGGTAGAAAACATTGAAATGTATTGCTGTTTTATACATACTCCCTTCCTTAAGCAATCTTCTATGCATTGTATAATTGTTTGTTTATTCATTTCTTGGATGGACAATAAGGACAGTACTGTGGTACTGAGCTCCAGAAAGTTGGTACAGTTGATACAACATCTTTGGGTTTTCGAACTAATTGGAGCTGAATTTTGGCAGAAAGATGATGATCTGGAAGGTGAAACTTGCTGCTTGATTTCCTTCAGTGGATATGTGATAAATGGAAGTTGATGTGCATGTGAACAGAATAGGGTGCCAAAAAGAGAGCCAAGTTATGAAGAATTTTTCAATAGCTGCTCTGAAAAAAAATATAGTCATTGAGTTCAGTGGCATGACCATTTTACATCTCCTCTTTGGCTGCTGTTGAATAGTGAGTAGTGGATCAGATTATTTCTGGTAACAAGTGACCGACCCGAAGACAAGAATTTAGTCAGGCATTCAAATTATTTTTCCAGGGGTAGCATCTTTCCATGAGACTTCTCCCACCAGTAATCCTTCTGGGAGTCTCTGGCAATGCCAAGGGTAGGTACAGGATTGCAGCCAGTGTGTAAAGGCTCTCATTTTTAGTGCCAGAGTTTGAGTTTGCTGCATGCCAGATTACAGGATAGTTGTAGGGCCTGTACAATCATCTAGCCTGATGGAAGAATATAAAGGCTTTTGCTCCCGTTACCTGAGGATGTTTGATTCACTGTGACAGCTATTCTAACAGTTATCAGGATGAGTAAGATTCTGGAACAGCCTTCCAGTAGAAGTAGCAAAGACAAAAACCTTAACAGTTGTAAGAACTTGGTTGATTTATGAAAGAGCTTGTTGGGCATGACTGTCTGCCATAGCATTGAACTGAACTGGATTAAATATCCCCTTCAGTCTCGTGTTACTAACTGCTCCAAAATGATACAGTTTTTATACATTGGGCAATGAATTACTTTCTTTATATTTACTGAAATTGTACATCCTTGATTATTTGAATCCCTTTGGAGATTTGGAGGAAAACATATCAGACACTAATAAACTAGTCCTATTTGTACTTAGCAATGAAAAGCAGTTCAAATGATTGAAATCACTTGTATAGAATGAAACCACTGCATCTTGCAAGGATGTTAACATGAGATGCATAATAGGGGTGTGCAAAGCGCGCAATATTTGATTCAGATTCGGATTTGGCTTGATTTGGGGGACAGTGATTCAATTTGCTGATTCAGATCACTGTCCTGATTCGGTTCAGTTGAATCTGAAGATTCGATTCTGATTCAGAGAATCAGCGATTCGGACGTAGACACAACCTTAAATGTTTTTTCTACATACCAGGCGCGGCTTGTGAATGCTGAGATGGTGGAGTGGATGGAGTGTCCCACGGGAGCTCACAGGGGACTCCCTCCCCCACACCCCCCTGGCTCGGCGATTGGCCACAGGGGGACCCAGGGTACCCCCCCCAGACCCAGGAGGCACCAGTCATTGAGCCAGGGGGTGGGGGGGGAGCGTCTCCTGTGTGCTCCACAGCAGACACAGAAGTGGACCAGAAGTACTTCTATAAACACATCTATAGTCATTTACATATAGACAAACTAATATGGGTATCTGTAGATTTAGTTCATCCAGAATTAATGCATTATACCTTTTTTACAAACCGCCGCAAGTTTCAGCATAGGTACATAAACGTACTTTTGAACAGCACTTTTGTACTTACTTATATATAATGCAAACTATTCATGATATTAGCCCAACTGGGGGTATGCGTACCCCCCAGGCTACTTGGAAAGGCCCTAGGGGGTACCTGCAAGCAGGGAGGGACGGAGCACCACCACTCCATGCCGCTGCCTCCCAGAAGCAGGGCTTGGGGTGGGGTGCCAAGGGCAGCGGTGCACAAGCACCACCCGGCCAGCCAGACGCGGGAGAGGGGGGTGGAAATTTGCATGCAGCCACTGCCACTCACCAACCCACGCTGCCACTGCTCCACATCCGGCCATGCTCCCCCCAGCTCTGCATCCAGGCACGGGGGGTTTTGTTTGTTTTGTTTTGTTTTTGTAAAAAAATATCTATATATAAGGTTATATATATCTATGCTCTAACCTATTACATCCCAAAAGGATTAATCCTATCCCGTTACAGAAAACCGCACCTGTGCCCTCATACAAAGGCCCGCTGGCCACCTGTACCCATTAGAATATCCGCAAATGCGCGCAACACACACAAACAAAAACCTCAGTCCCTTCTTGTCCTTCCAACCAGCCCTCCCTTCATTTCCACCCTTGGCTCACTTCTGGGGTCAGGTACTTGGCTCAAATGGTCTCTCCATTGTTGTCGCTCCAGCTTCCACTGGAGGACCCACTGCTGCTGCTGCTGTTGCTCTCGCTGTCCTCTGTTCCACTTATCTGTTCCTCTTCTCCACTGCCTTCACTCCCTTCTTCACTCAGTGGGAGTTATATGGTCCTGTGCCACGTGTCCCTATGCCAGGTGGCATTTCTGCATACTCTCCATCCTCTGCTACTGATTTCTGGTAGTAGGTCCTGAGTTCGTTCGGCACCATCTTCGCACAGCCTACTACTTCTGCATCCATTTGTCTGTATGGGAGGAGGTTCCTAGCCTTCTACAAGGCACTGGGCACTGGGGTTGCACTTATTAAAAAAGGTTGAAAACTCCTGATTTATAATATAGCTCACTGGGCTGGGCCTCCAGCAGAGTCAACATCTTTTAAAGTCACGGTGACCCCAAAGATCTGCACTGCTCAGTATCTGCATGTACTCCAGATATTCCCACCCTCCCTTCCCCCAATGTGCTAATTACCAGATATTTCCACCCTCCTTTCCCTCCATGTGCTAATTACCCCCCTGTTCATGACTGGAACCAGGTTTTTTGTCACAAGTTCTGGGATCCTCTGAAAATTTATATGCAGATGAGGCCCAGGGCAACCTGGTCCGGCTTCACTTAATAGAGAGAGGGGCCACAGCAATCACATGCAATGGACTGAGAGATGAGGTAACAGAGCCTCTCGTTTACATAGATGTCTCGTGATGTTTGCCAGACATTTAAGGCTGGTGAAGAAACAGGAATCATAAAGGTGCTGCTCAGCTGTGGGAGTGAGGAGGAATTCAAAATGTATTTAACATAGTGTTTCACCATACATTGAAAAAGAGTCGGTGCTGAGGGGGATTTGAGCACATCTTATTCAGATGAGCTATACTAACCTAGCTTTGTGGTAAGTTTCCATCAATATGTTTGCAGTTATTGAAACAGGAATGAGAAAAGTGTAATTGTGAAGGTGTGGTTTGGACTGGTGAGTGAACCATATTGGTCACAAGACAGATTAGAAGAGGTGTGTAAATATTTTTGGGGAAAAAAATCAGTATGTTTGCTCAGTATGGGTAATGTGTTTTACAGGCATGCTCAGTGTGGGCTGTATTCAACATCATAGTTGGTTTCCATTACTGAGCACATGCTGCTTCTGGCAGCAGTTTAATAGACAATGCATTTAATGAGGTTTTTTTGTATGCAGATATAAGATGCTGCCAGGGGGGAGAAAAGCCTTGTCTTTTATATGAGTAAATACAGTACTAGAGCTAGCACAACATCATTGTTAATCAACAACTTATGTACCAGATTTTGAATTGGCAGAATATGCCAACAGTTTTATAGTCCTGAAGAAAATCAATATTGTAGTTTTTGCTGAATGCTACTGTAGTTTGAAAGAAAGAAAACATAACCAAAGGAACAAAAATAAAAATAATGTTTTAAGCCAGTGACAGTTTTTTTCTCTTCTGGATGAAGCAAAAATCAGAGTAGGCAAAGGAAATCAAGTAAATGAAAGAAAACAAATGACAACTGGTCAGATTTTTTCAAGATTTCTGAGTGCCTGATTGGACTAGCAAAAGTGTAAAGTGAGTTAGTACCTAATTCTCATTGGAAGTTAGGAATGTAAATCTTTTGACCTATTTGCCTAATGACCTTGCTTCTGTTTGTAGTCAATCTCTTTTTTTCTTCTCTCATTTTTGCTTCTTCTCTCAGGTGAATGAGGTTTCAGATCTTTAGCTGAGGTGAACTGGCAGCTCTGATGATCTAAATGTAGCTATTCCAGTTGATGCCAATTAATAATTTAGTTTAAAAACAGTATAGGCAAACATGAGTTGGGAAGGACTTTTTAGACATATTAGGTGCATCTACACTGGACACTAACTTTGCAGTAGCCTAATAACACTGCAGTACACGTCATAGCACGGACAGTACTAATACACCACTACGCAGTATTATTAGGTTACCGTGCAGTAACATCACTAGAAAGCCATTTGCTAGCATGACTGCACAGTAACTCTGGTTACTGCACATTTATTTAGTACTTGATTATACGAGTACTAAATTAAATGCACAGTAACCACTGTGTTTTAATGAACGTGTAGATATGCCTATTGGGTTAGATCATACTCTACCTAATATGCACTTAAGTGCAATCCACCTTTTCCACTCTCCATGAAAAAATGTTAATATAAAAGGTGGGTGGGTGATCTTCCTCCTTGCTTTTTAATCACTTGCTGTTCAGGTGAAGATGATGGTGTATAAACAAAGTAGATATACAAATGCATTTTTAAGGACTTGGACAAAGTGCAAGAGCATCTGCCCAGATTCACTTATGCACCTAACAGGGGAAATAGGAGCTGGCCATATAGTTCCTTGTTACAAATGATTCAATAAAAAGATGCTCTATAGAAGCCTACACAAGGCTAGGTTTGTATTTTGATTGTTTCTCCATAAATAAACTAAATTTAGAAATGTTGTTGTCACAAGCAACAAGCTTTTTTTGTTATGGGTCTATTGGTAACTTCTCTGGTAGTCTGATATGCATACAATTTGTTTTCTGTCATCAGCTATATCATTCATATTTTATCTCTTTCATGCTATGATTAGCAGCACTCATATGTAGACACCAATAAAAAACTACTGCGTATGTTTTCTTTCCAATATGATCTGAACTGATACCTGGGCAATTTAATTAATAGTTTTCAATCATGATAGCAACTTTGATGTTGAGTGCCTTACTTTTGCAAGGAATTTCAGTTAAATGCTTCCAAACTCCAGTAGAAATTGAAAATATCTCCTCCTTGATCGGTTTCCTGACTGAGTCAGTCCTTCAACGTGCAAAAGTTGTCAAAAAAGCAAATAGGAAAATTTTCTTTTTCTTGTCACTACATTATAATGATCTTACTAAGTAATCAGACCTGGCTGAAAAACAGCTTTCTGCTTTCATTAAAATTATTGACTCACCAAAATGTTCCTATCCCAAATCAGAAAAAAGTCAAAATTAAAAAAAAATATTCCTAAACTGAACAGGTGTGGGGAAAAAAATCTGTTTTGGTCAATCAAAATGTTTTGTTTTTATACGATTTGATTTCAGAATTATGACTTGATATGATTTGATTTCAAAAACAGTGTTTCACATGGGAAGTGTTGTAATGAAACCTTTTGACAGTTTCCGAATATTTTTTTCCATGAATGTTCAGTAAAATGAAAATGGAAACCAACTTTTTTTGCATTTGATGAATTGGGATTTTCAAAATGTTTTTGTTGGAAATTCCCAACAAGCCCAATATCTCATTCACTTGCACGCTATATGTACCTTCCTCCTCCCCTTCCTCTCCTCCCCACCAGAAAATCAGCCCTTCAAAATTGGTGTGTGTGTCTTAAGCAGGGAAGCTAATTTTCATTGCTGAAATAGAAACACAGAGGAGCAGAAGCACTGAAAGGTTGTACTGCAGAATGGCCACTAGCCTCCGTATCAGCCAGCAACCACAAGCAGAATCCAGTGTTGTTAACTGTTGTACAGGTGCTATTGAATTGCTCTTGGCTGATGCCTCCGCTTGCTTGCTGGCTAAGAGAAAAGGAGCATCCTTTGTGCAGCACAGCTTTCCATGAAAAATCCAGCTCCATGCTTTGACTCTGGACAAATCTTTTTTTCCTATGTTCTATAATCCAAAAACAAGGTGCATATCT